TCACCAATCTTGCCAGGATCCAAAGTGTATTCAAGGTCACAATCACCCAAAGGGCATTATTTGATGTCTCTGTGAACGTTCCTGGTGCCGCAGGTTTTGAATATACGTAAACATTTGCTCACTTGACTCACCTACACACTGGCAATATCTTATATGGCATAATTTAAATAGTATACGTTTAGCTTAAGATTTTTTTGCCTACTATATTTGGAATGCAAATACACCTGGGAGATTCTTACCAGTCAGTAAATACTCAGTAACTCTTCAAAGTGAAGGATCTCTTTTCTCTCTAAAGAGCTATTTTTAATTCATTAGTTTCTTTGATCATGCCTGTAATAAGTACATAGTTCTATAAGAGACTTGCTAAAAGTTGGTGGAATCTTGCAAATGAATAAAAAGAATTGCTGTCTTCACAAATTTTAGTCTATCTGGAGAAAAAAAGGATATAATAGGGTGTGATGTGTCATAGAAGTTTTGTAAAGACATGCTCTTGCTACGCAGAAGACTGGGAATTAGTTTTATTTAGTAGGGACACGGTAGGGGAGAATTAGGCGCCACTGCTGTAAGTTGTTCTCTACTCAGATTAAAGGACTTCACTTGGTGAACTTGCCAGCAGCTGAAATGAAAAAGATTTTGAGTCAAGTTAGAATATAAAGAAAGCAGTGCCTATGATGTCTCTGTGAAGGTTTGCCTGCAAGGTCTTCTCCTAAACTGTTGCTGATAAACTCAAATCCACTAAAACTTCTGCTTCTCTGAAAGATTAACTTCTCTCTTTGAGACAGTGTTTATCAGGGTGGACAGTAACTAGGATTCGAAGGACAAGTTAGCAAATAAGGTCCTGACTTGAACAAACACTGTAGTAAGCCCTTCTCCAACCACAGGAGAATAACACTTAAAAGCTCATAAGCAAGCAACCTGGCTTTTTAATTGAGCAATATACTGTCAGGATTAACTAAGCAATGTTGAGAATCATTCTGATAAATTCAGTTCAGTTCAGTCACGCAGTCTTTTCCGACTTTTTGCAACTCCATGAACTGCAGCACACCAGGCCTCCATGTCCATCACCAGCTCCTGAGTCCACCCAAACTCATGTCCATTGAGTCGGTGATGACATCCAACCATCTCACCCTCTATCATCCCCTTCTCCTCCTGCCCTCAATTGTTCCCAGGATCAGAGTCTTTTCCAGTGACTCAGTTCTTCACATCAGGTGGCCAAAGTATTGGAGTTTCAGCTTCAACATCAGTCCTTCCAATGAACACCCAGGACTGATCTCCTTTAGGATGGACTGGTTGGATCTCCTTGCAGTCCTAGGGACTCTCAAGAGGCTTCTCCAACACCACAGTTCAAAAGCATCAATTCTTTGATTCTCAGCTTTCTTTTCAGTTCAACTCCCACATCCATACATGACAACAGGAAAAACAATAGCCTTGACTAGATGGACCATTGTTGACAAAGTAATGTCTCTGCTTTTTAATATGCTATCTAGGTTGGTCATAACTTTCCTTCCAAGGAGTAAGTGTCTTTTAATTTTGTGGCTGCAATCACCAGCTGCAGTGATTTTGGAGATCCTCAAAATACAGTCATTCACTGTTTCCACTGGTTCCCCATCTATTTGCCAAGAAGTGATGGGACCGGATGCCATGATCTTAGTTTTCTGAATGTTGAGCTTTAAGCCAATTTTTTCACTCTGCTCTTTCACTTTCATCAAGAGGCTCTTTAGTTCTTCACTTTCTGCCATAAGGGTGGTATCATCTGTATGTCTGAGGTTACTGATATTTCTCCTGGCAATCTTGATTCCAGCCTTTGCTTCTTCCAGCCCAGTGTTTCTCATGATGTACTCTGCATATAAGCTAAATAAGCAGGGTGACTATGTACAGCCTTGACTACTCCTTTTCCTATTTGGAGCCAGTCTGTTGTTTATGTCCAGTTCTAACTCTTGCTTCCTGACCTGCATACAGGTTTCTCAAGAGGCAGGTCAGGTGGTCTGATATTACCATCTCTTTCAGAATTTTCCACAGTTTATTGTGGTAAACACAGTCAAAGGCTTTGGCATAGTCAATAAAGGAGAAATAGATGTTTTTCTGGAACTCTCTTGCTTTTTTGAAAATCCACCAGATGTTGACAATTTTCTCTGCCTTTTCTAAAACCAGCATGAACGTCTGGAAGTTCACCATTCATGTACTGTTGAAGCTTGTCTTCATGAATTTTGAGCACTACTTTTCTAGTGTGTGAGATGAGTGCAATTGATGAATCCAAGGAGCAAGTGTCTTTGAATTTCATGGCTTCAGTCACTATCTGCAGTGATTTTGGAGACTCAAAAGCAAAGCCTCTCACTGTTTCTATTATTTCCCCTTCTATTTGCCTTGAAGCATTAGAACCAGATGGCATGATCTTAGTTTTGTGAATGTTGAGTTTTAAGTCAACTTTTTCACTCTCCTCTTTCACTTTCATCAAGAGGCTCTTTAGTTCTTTTTCACTTTCTGCTATAAGGGTGGTGTCATCTGCATATCTGAGGTTATTGATATTTCTTCTGGCAGTCCTGATATCAGCTTGTGCTTCATCTAGCTTGACATTTCACATGACGTACTCTGCAGATAAATTAAATAAATAGGGTGACAACATACTGACTTGATGTACTCCTTTCCCAGTTTGGAACCAGACTGTTGTTTCATGTCCAGTTCTAACTATTGCTTCTTGACCTGTACATAGGTTTCTCAGGAGGAATGTAAGGTGGTCTGGCATTTCCATCTCTTGTAGAATTTTCCAGAGTTTATTGTGATTCACACAGTCAAAGGCTTTGGCACAGACAATAAAACAGAAGTGGATGTTTTGCTGGAACTCTCTTCTCTCTTGCTTCTTTGATGATCCAACAGATGTTGTCAATTTGATCTCTGGTTCCTTTGTCTTTTCTAAATCCACCTTGAACATCTGGAAGTTCACAGTTCATGTATTGTTGAAGCCTGGCTTGGAGAATTTTGTAGATTACTTTTCTAGCATGTGAGATGAGTGCAATTTTGTGGTAGTTTGAACATGGTTTGGCATTGTCTTTCTTTGAGACTGGAATGAAAACTGACATTTTCCACTCCTGTGGCCATTTCTGAGTTTTCTAATTTGTGGCATATTGAGTGCAGCACTTTCACAGCATCATCTTTCAGGATTTAAATAGCTTGACTGGATTTCCATCACCTCCACTAGCCCCATTTATAGAGAAGCTTCCTAAGGCCCACTTAACTTCTCATTCCATTATATCTGGCTCTAGGTGAGTGATCACACCATTGTGATTATCTGGGTCATGAAGATCTTTTTTGTATAATTCTTCTCTCTTGCCACCTCTTCTTAATATCTTCTGCCTCATTACCTTTGTATAAGAAAGAGATTGGTGCATGGACAAATAAATACATTCTTGGTTGTGTTTATATTAGAGTCTGAAGAGAAATTCAAGAGAGTAATAGAAGTTGTTACATAAATATGAGGTATTGGCATGTGAGAAGGACTAGAGGTAGGAATGAAGTTTGAAATAAGCTGTATAGTATTGATTTATGACCTATATGAATCTAATATTCTAAAATATAAATAAAATGTGAATCACTTAATTTTTTTTCACTAAGTGTTTATTGTAGCTTAAGAGGGATTTGTGAGGGACAGAAGGCAAAAACTTTTTTTCAGAGGTCTTTGGTCTTTAAGTGGCTATAACTCTTGCCTAGATTTTAGGGTTCCTTTGAAATTTTGAAACTGTACACAAAATCTTGAATCTCTTTGCATATGTGTATATTTCTAGGGAACTCATATGACATTTACCAAGGTACCCCGTGATCAAAAACAATGTGATAAATCATGATTTTGAGGATTCATAAGAATCTCCAGATGTATTCTTCCTGAATATTAAGATACTATATAACATGATGGTTATGAATATGAGTTCTGAATGCAAGAGAGCTGGAATCTTCACTGAACTGCTTCACTTAAGTAGCTGTGCATCACTGGGTAAATTATTCAAACTTCCTAACCTCACTTTTCTTTATTTTCAATTTAAAAAAAAATAATAATATTCTCCAAATGGCATTGTGAGGGTTAAAATAATGCATTTGAAACTGTCAGTCACTCAGCGGTGTGCACCCCTTTGGACTTTCTGCCAGACTTCTCTGTCCATGGCATTCTCAAGGCAAGAAGACTGGAGTTGGTAGCCATGCCCTACGCCAGGGGATCTTCCCCACCCAAGAATCAAAACCAGATCTCTTGCATGGCAGGGAGATTCTTTACTATTCCAGACACATAATAAGAATGTTGCTATTAAAATAATTGAAGTCCATCTTAGCAAGCTTTGGGATAGGTCAAAACATGCACTGTGTTTTGGACATGTTAACTTGAGATGTTTGCAGGATATTTAAAGGAGACATCCAGTAAAAAGTTGGACTTAAGGGTCTGGAATGCTGGGAAAGGACTCTGCTATGTTATGAAGTTTCGTTTCTGTCTACACTTATTCCCTTGATTAGCTTATCTAATATCATTGTCTTATGGGTTTGACTCTCAAATTCACATATCCAGTAGAAGTCTTCCTAAACACACACTCCACACACCTATTCAACAAATATTATTGGATATTTTATAGGCATCTCAAAATTAATATGGCCCAAATCAAATTCTTGATCATCCTGTCTTAATCTGACCCATCTATAGCCTTCCACATATTTGGCTGCCCTGGTGGTTCAGATGATAAAGAATCTGCCTGCAATGCAAGACAGCCAAGTTCAATGCCTGGGTCAGGAAGATATCCTGGAGAAGAGAATGGCTTACCCACTCCAGTATTTTTTTCCTGGAGAACTCTATGGAGAGAGGAGCCGCATATTAATTAACAGTATTTTCATTTTTTTAGTTACTCAAGCAAAAGATGTTGAAGTCACCCTGATTTATTTCCTTCTCTTCCACCCCACATAAATCCATTCATCAATACTATTGGTTCTACTACAAAATACTACATCCACATTCAATTATTTCTTACTATTTTCCTTGATATGACTCTGGTTCAAGATACTAATAACTCTCTCTTTGAGATTTTTATGACAGTCTCCCAATTGGCTTTTCTGCTTCCACCTTCTCCTGAAGAGTAGTAGAGTAGGATCTCAGCACTGTGATCAGGTGATTCTTTAAAAAAAAAAAGAAATAAAGAAATCAAAACAAGTCACACTTCTGTTCAAGACCTCAGTGGCTTCCATCTCACCCAAAAGACAACCACATCCAATGTCAGAGAAACCCAAATAAGACCCCATTCCCACCAGAGACACTCAAAGGTCTCAAACAAACCTTGTGCACACCAGGACCCAGGGACCCCACAGAGACTGAGACAGAACTGTGCTTGAGCATCTTCTGTGGAGGTGCAGGTCAGCAGTGGACTTCCACGGGGACAGGGAGTCTGGGTGCAGCAGACATGGGCATGGAACAACTGACAGATTTGAAATAGGAAAAGGAGTCCGTCAAGGCTGTATATTGTCATTGGCAAGAATGACACTAGAGTTGAAACTCCAATACCTTGGCCACCTGATGCAAAGAACTGAGTCATTGGAAAAGAACCTGATGCTGGGAAAGGTTGAAGGTAGGAAGAGAAGGGGATGACAGAGGTTGAAATGGTTGATTGCATCCCTGACTCAATGGACATAAGTTTGAGCAAGCTGCAAGAGTTGGTGATGGACAGGGAAGCCTGGTGCGCTGTAGTCCTTTGGGTTGCAAAGAGTTGGACACAACTGAGTAACTGAACTGAACTGATCTGTGACTTGTAGCAATTTCTTAAAATTGTCAATGTCTGTTTCCTTATTTGTAAAATAAAGATCATATACTAAGCTTTAATCTACTGGCATTTGTATTAAGTAATAAATATTAAAGACACTGGTGCATTTCAAAGTTTTTTTTTAAGCTGAAGCCATTGCTATTATGGATACTGAAATATAACATCAGTTGATTGCCCACTATATGGTACTGCAAGGTACAAATTTGAACAAGGCACATTGCCTGCCTTGTGCTTTTAACAATCTAATACAGTAATGCTCCAGGTTCACCTGATTTACTCTCTGTTTACTGCTCTGGCTTATCAAAAATCAGTTTTCTTCATGCTGGGGGAAAGAAAAGATTACAATTGAGGACAATCACAGGGTTTGATTTCAGTCCTTTATCTTGAAATGAATCATTTGATCATCTCCAATTCCCTGACCCATGAAAACAGCAGCTGCACAAAACTTTATTTCCTCGAATACCAGGTAGATGAGAAATATCACATATGCAGGGGGATGGAAATGGATCTCACAGAAAGCAAATATCTCTCCAAACCTACATCTTGGACATCTCTGGTAAGCTCTTAAGTGCAAAGTACAATCTTTAAAGACTCCCTTGTACAATGTCTGTAATATTGTATATAAATATCCCAGTTTGTACACCTCATTAATTCAATCTGCATCTGTGCAGTGGGAAACTGAAGTGATCAACCAGTTAATGAACACCTGAAAATTTGCGATCGAGAGGACTGAATTACTCATCTAAGCTGGTGACACTAGGGAAAGTGATTGGGAAAAAGCTCTTCTCTCCACCTCATTATGTTAAAGCTATATACACACACACAGACACACACACACACAGACACACACACACACATTAAATTTCATGTAATATGACATCATAATATACAGTTTAAGTTAGGCTTCCCCAGTCAGCTTAGATGGGGAGAAATGGACTTCAAGGGAAGAAATATGTGAATTAGAACTTAATTTACACCACTGCACACATATTTGGCTTCCCTGATAGCATATTGTGTTTAGGGTCTGAGTACTTTAAATATTTCTCTATAAAATGAGAAAACCAGGGTTAAAAAAAAAACAACTATTTATATGAAAAAAAAAAAAGTACATTTTTTTTCTCTCTCTCTTCTGCTTCCCCAAGGTGAAAGTGAAAGTGAAGTCACTGAGTCACGTGCAACTCTTTGTAATCCCATGGACTGTAGCCTACCAGGCTCATCTGTCCATGGGATTTTCCAGGCAAGGATACTGGAGTGGGTTGCCATTTCCTTCTCCAGGGGCTCTTCCCAATCCAGGGATCGAACCCAGGTCTCCCACATTATAGGCATTAAGCTCAAAGAAGATATTACTTTTCTTAGGGAGGGGGGAGAAGTTTTCTCTCCAGAGAATTTGTAGAGGGAAAAGATAATTAGACTCCTTTCTGATAAGATATGCAGATGAATTATGAGTGCTTATCTGACATCAAGTTGCAAGCAGCTGCAGAGCTGCTTTCCCCCTGAGCTTGCATCTTAGAGAGGACAAGGTTCTTTGGTTTCTGTCTGTTGTGGAACAAAACCAGAGTGAGATTGCAAAAAGGCTGGGGAATCGCTGAAAGTCTTATTAAATGTAGGCCAATCTAGGGAGCAGGAAAGTGGCCTTCCTTTGAAAAAGTCTTTAAATTTTACTTAATTCTTACTCCAAATGTGACTGAACAACAATTCCAAATGCTTCCTATATGGGGTAAGTCATGCTGCTAAGGTTAAACAAATAACCTGAGAAAGGACCTGAAAAAAGTATCTGAAGAGATAATAGCTGAAAACTTCCCTAACATGAGAAAGGAAACATTCGCCTAAGTCCAGGCGGCAGAGACCCCAGCAGAATAAACCCAAATAGGAACACACTGAGACACACAGCAAGCAAACTGATAAAAATTAAAGACAAAGAAAAAGTATTAAAAGCAACAAGGGAAAAGCAACAAATAATATACAAGGGAAACACCATAAGATTACCAGCTGATTTATCAGCAGAAAGTCTATAAGCCAAAAAGAGTGGCAAGACATATTAACACAATGAAATGGAAGGCCCTAGAAGAAAGAATACTCTAACCAGAAAGGCTCGCATTCAAATTTAGTGGAGAAATCAAAAGATTTACAGAAAAGCAACAGCTAAGGCAATCCAGTACCAGCAGAACAGCTTTGCAAACAAATGTTAATGGAATTTCTCTAAGCACAAGGGAAAAAAAAAAAAAAAAGACCACAACCAGAAATGAGAAAATTACAAATGGAAAAGCTCAGTAGTAAAGGCAAACATAGAGTTGTTGTGTCTATTTAGTTGCCAAGTTGTGCCTGATTCTTTGTGACCTCACGGACTGCAGAATGCCAGGCTTCCCTGACCATCACTATCTGTCAGAGTTTGCTCAAACACCTGTCCATTGAGTCAATAATGCCATCCAACCATCTTATCTTCTGTTCCCCCTTCTTCTGCCCTCAATCTTTCCCAGCATCAGGGTCTTTTCCGACAACTTGGCTCTTTGCATCAGGTAGCCAAAGTATTGGAACTTAGGCTTCAACATCAGTCCCTCCAATGAGGGATTTCCTTTAGAATTTCCTCTCAATTCCCCTCCAATGAATTGATTTCCTTTAGGATTGACTGGTTTGATCTCCTTGATGTTCAAGGGACTCTCAGCCTTCTCCAACAGCACAGTTTGAATGCATCAATACTTAGGCGCTCAGCCTTCTGTATGGTCCAGCTCTCACATTTGTACATGACTACTGGAAAGGTGGGAAATCATTTGCACACAAACATAATATCAAAAGCAACAACTGTGATAGAAGAGATCACAATTGCCGTATATTGGAAATGCATTTAGAATTAAAAGACCAACAACTTAAAGCAATCTTGTTTATATACAGACTGCTATATCAAATCCTCATGGTAACGTGAAACCAAAAATCTATTGGGTTGGCCAAAGAGTTCATTCAGGTCTTCAGACAAACCCAAATGAACACTTTGGCCAAACCAATACAACAGAAACACACACAGATAAAGAAAAAGGAACTCAAATACAACACTAAACTTAGCCATCCAACCAAAAGACACAGACTGGCTAAATGGATAAAAACACAAGACCTGTATATACGTTGTCTTTAAGAGATCCACTTCAGACCTAGGGACAAATACAGACCGAAAGTGAAGAGATGGAAAAGGGGATCCCATGCAAATGCAAATCAAAGGAAAGGTGTAGTAGCAATACTCATGTGAGACACAATATGCTTTATTATTTTTAAATTTTTTTAATTTTTTTTTATTTTTTCCATTTATTTTTATTAGTTGGAGGCTAATTACTTTACATCATTGCAGTGGTTTTTGTCATACATTGAAATGAATTAGCCATGGATTTACATGTATTCCCCATCCCGGTCCCCCCTCCNCATCCAGAAAAAAAAAAAATAAGGAAACACAGACCTTAAATAACATGTTAAGCCAGATAAACTTAATTGATACTTATAGAGCATTCCATTCAAAAGTAGCAGAATACACATTCTTCTCATATGCACAAGGGAACATTCTCCAAGATTCACCACATGGTGGGCCACAAAGCAAACCTCAGTAAATTTAAGGAAATCAAAATCACATCAAACTTCTTCCCCAACCACAATACTATGAGATTAGAAATCAAATACAAGAGAAAAAAAAAAAAAACTGTAAAACAGGTTGAGAATAAATAATACACTACTAAACAACCAGTGGATCACAGAAGAAATAAAACAGAAAATAAAAAAAAAAAAACAACACTTTGATACAAATGAAAATGAAAGTACAAACATTTAAAACCTATAGGATGCAGCAAAAGCAGTTCTAAGAGGAAAGTTTACAGAGATACAATCTTACCTCAGGAAGGAAGAAAAATCACAAACCTAAGAAAACCTGACATTACACTTAAAGCGACTAAAGAAAGAACAAGCAAAACTCAAAGTTAGCAGAAGGGAATAAATAAAAAAGATCAGGACAAAAATAAGTGAAATAGAAATGAAGAAAACAATAGAAAAAAGTTAATGAAACTAAAAGTGGTATTTTTAGAAGATAAAGTTGATAAACCTCTAGCCAGATTCATCAAGAAAAAAAGGAAGCAGGCTCAAATTAATGAAGAGATAAATGAAAAAGAAGTTACAACAGACACCCTAGAAATAAAAAGAATAATAAGAGACTATTACAAGCAACTATAAACAACATGACAGTAAAATGGACAACCTAGAAAAACCGGACTAATTCTTAGAAATGAACAATCTCCCAAGACTGAAGCATGAAGAAACAGAAAATATAAACAACTTATTCCCAGTTTTTGAATTCGAACTTTTGTTTTTAAATTGCCCCCTATTTGTGACATCTTTATCTATTCATCTATCTATGGATGGGCACGTAGGTTGCTCCCATAGCTTGGCCATTATAAATGATGTTGTAGTGAGCGGTCCCGTGCACATATCATTTTTTAATTAGTGTTTTTTTTTTTTTTTTACTTGTATATATACCCAGGAGTAAAACTGATGGTTAATGTGGTAGTTCTACTTTTACTTGTTCATTTTCCCATAGCTTGGCCATTATAAATGATGTTGTAGTGAGCGGTCCCGTGCACATATCATTTTTTTATTCACATTTTTTTTTTTTTTTTACTTGTATATATACCCAGGAGTAAAACTGATGGTTAATGTGGTAGTTCTACTTTTACTTGTTCATTTTCCCATAGACATCAGAAATTGAAGAAAGATTCCTTTCTGAAATATCCAATGACTCTGCTCAAACTCAGGGGAAAAGTTGGAGGTTCATTAGGATGTGGGTTGACAATAAACTGGTATGTAACAAAATTAGTCATAGTGAAATAACACTGTGTCAAAATAGAAAGAGCTTCACCTATCAAGCCAACCACAACCAAATTCAAATCCTAATTGTCATTTTCCAGCTATGTGACTTTGACAAGTTCATATCAATTCGGAAATTCATCTGCAAAATTGGGCTAAGGATGAACTGTTAGAACTGACTGAGAAATTGCAATTAACATTTTGGAACACAGCAGTTGTGCAATAAAATGTAAAACCAACTATAAGAATCAGAAGATCAACTTCAGTACTGAATGCAAAGGCATGAATCTACCACTTGCAACAGTGGTAACTTGCAAATGCTGCTTAGAAAACCACAGTCTGGGTCTTTGTTTTGCCACCTGAAGAGTTTGTTAGGCCTTGAGAAATCACCTTTTGCCCTTCAATTGGCCACAGCAATCAGGGCAGAAAAAGAAGTAAAATGAATCCAGATAGGAAAAGAAGAAGTGAAACTCTCACAATATACTTTAGAATAAAGACCAGTATAAAAGACAAGAAGGACACTGCATAATGATCAAGTGATCAACTCAAGAAGATGATATAATAATTGTAAATATATACACATCCATCATAAGAGCATCCCAATACATAAGTCAAATACAGCCAAAAAAAGGAGAAGGGAAAATGACAGTAACACATTAATGGACAGATCATCCAGAAAACAAATAAGGAAACACAGACCTTAAATAACATGTTAAGTCAGATAGACTTAATTGATACTTATAGAGCATTCCATTGAAGAGTAGCAGAATACACATTCTTCTCATGTGCACAAGGGAACATTCTCCAAGATTCACCACATGCTGGGCCACAAAGCAAACCTCTGTAAATTTAAGAAAAATCAAAATCACATCAAGCATCTTCCCCAACCACAGCACTGTGAGATTAGAAATCAACCACAAGAGGAAAAAAAAATGTGAAATAGTTGGAGGCTAACTAATATGCTACTAAACAACCAGTGGATCACAGAAGAAATAAAACAGAAAATCAAAAAACACCTGGAGACAAATGAAAATGAAAGTACAATCATGCAAAACCTATACAATGCAGCCAAAGCAAATCTAAGAAGAAACTTTATAGTGATACAGTTTTACCTCAGGAAGGAAGAAAAATCACAAACTAAGACAACCTGACATCATACTTAAAGTGACTAGAGAAAGAACAAGCAAAACTCAAAGTTAGCAGAAGGGAAGAAATCAAAAAGATCGGGACAAAAATAAATGAAATAGAAATGAAGAAAATGATAGAAAAAATCAATGAAATGAAAAGTGGTTCTTTTAGAAGATAAACAAAATTGATAAACCTCTAGCCAGATTCATCAAGAAAAAAAGGAAGTGGGCTCAAATTGATGAACAGATAAATGAAAAAGAAGTTACAACAGATACCCAAGAAATAAAAAGCATCATAAGAGACTATTACAAACAACAACAAACAACATGCTAACAAAACAGACAACCTGGAATAACTGGACAAATTCTTGAAAATGAACAATCTCCCAAGACTGAAGCATGAAGAAACAGAAAATATAAACAGACTAATCACCAGTATTGAAATTGAAACTGATTATAAAACTCCCCCTGTATGCTACATTTTTATTTATTCATCTATGTATGGATGGGCACATAGGTTGCTTCCATAGCTTGGCAATTATAAACAAGGTTGCAGTGAGCATTCTGGAGCATATATCCTTTCTGAAAGTGTTTTTGTTTTCCTTGGACATATACCCAGGAGGGAAACTGATGGTTAATGTGGTAGTTTTACTTTTACGTTTTTTTTTTCCCCATAGATGTCAGAAATTGAAGAAAGATTCCTTTTTGAAATATCCAATGGCTCTGCTCAAACTCAGGGGGAAAGTTGGAGGGTCATTAGGATGAAGCTTGATAGTAAACTGGTGTGTAATGAAATTAGTCATAGTGGAATAACATTGTGTCAAAACAGAAAGAGCTTCAGCTATGAAGCCAACCACAACCAAGTTCAAATCCTAATTGAGTCACTTTCCAGCTATGTGACTTTGAGTAGTTCATATCAATTCTGAAACTCATCTGCAAAATGGGGCTAAGGATCAACTATTAAGACTGACTGAGGAGATGCAATTAACATTTTGGAACACTGCAGTTGTGCAATAAATGTAAAAAAAAAAAAAAAAACTATGAGAATCAGAAGATCAACTGCAGTATGGAATGCAAAGGCATGAATCTGCCACTTGCAAACAGCAAATGTTCCTTAGAAAACCACAGTTTGGGTCTTCAGTTTATCACCTGAAGAGTTTGTTAGGCCTTCAGAAATCAGCTTTTGCCCTTCCTTCCTGAGATTTTGCTTAGCAGACTTTGCAATCATCATCAGACTTAAAGAGTATGTAAATGATACAAGAATGTAAACAGCACATTGAAAGATAAATGAGTGCACAGAGAATTAAAGACCTAAGGATGCTCTAACCAGGTGAAAAAGAGCAGGCAGGGATCACAGTGAAATCAGTCACAAGGCTTGGCACCGCTAAGGTGAGACAGGAGCTGGGGGTTAAGTGGGGCTGGCGCTCACCCCCTCACCTCCATCACAGAAAGCATATATGACAGAGTAGAGTGTGCATAACTCTGGGCCTTAGCTATCCACTGAACCAGTCATTCACTCTGTAAGCGAATACTGAACACGAGTTAGTCCCTGGTTTGAAAAATGCAGAAGTGAAAAAAGGCATGCTCCCTGCCTTCAAACAATTGATGATCTAGAGGAGGAAAGAGACAACAGTGGTGACAGAAACACAAACTAGACATGACGAAAGCAATAATCTCACCGTGCCGAAGGAATTCTGAGAACACAAAGAAGGAGTTTCTCTCTATCAAGATTGAGCATGAAACAATACAAGTGCTTGCTTAAACTGAATTCTGAAGAATGAGAAGGAGTATCCTAGAAAGGCAGGGTGGTGTGGACTAACATAGGCATGGTGACTTTGTGACATCACACATAGACCAGAACAGGAGTGCAGAAGGTGTGAGCGGGCGGGGACAGGAAACCACTGTGAGCAGAGGTCACACTCGGCCTTTCCTATGTGTCACCTGAGAACGCCTAGCAGGCTGTTTGGCAGATATGTTCTCAGGAGATAAATATTTATTATGAAATGTAATATTATCTGAAGATTTAATCCCATAAGCAATAGAGCAGAATCAGAAGTATACTCTGTCTATGGTTAAGCGAGAACAATGAAGCCCTAACTTTACCAGAGCAAGGAAAACAGACAGGGCTTCTTTTTGTCTAAGAGCTGGAAGGAATCTCAGATATTATCCAATGAAGTGTGCAATGATCAGCCAAAACATAGCTCTTGATTTCTAATTCAGTATTCTTTGGGATCACTCAGTCCTTGAGAACAACATTAATGCATCACTCAATGCGAGATGAGGACACGGAGACCCCGGAAAGAAAAACGATTGTGCAAGGCATCCAGCTAATCAGCAATATTCAAACTACTGTGCAATTGCACTCATTTCACATGCTAGCAAGCTAATGCGCAAAATCCTTCAAGCAAGTCTTCAGCAGTATGTGAATCAAGAAATTCCAAATATACAAGCTGAATTTAGAAAAGGCAGAGGAATTAGAGATCAAATAATTAAAATCCATTGGATCATAGATAAAGCAAAGGAATTCCAGAAAAACATCTAGTACTGCTTCATTGACCACATTGAAGCCTTTGACTGTGTGGATCACAATTGTGGGTAATTCTTAAAGTGATCAGAATACTAGACCATTTTACCCGCCTCCTGTATGTAGGAGAAGAAACAACAGAATGGGATGGGGAAATGGACTGGTTCAAAATAGGGAAAGGAATACATCAAGGCTGTTTAATTTCACCCTTCTTATTTAACTTTTATGCAGAGTACATCATTTGAAATGCCAGGCTGGATGAATGACAAGCCAGAATCAAGATTGCCAGGAGAAATAACAACCTCATGTATGCAGATGATATCACTCTAATGGCAGAATGTGAAGAGGAACTAAAGAGCCTTTTGATGAAAGCGAAAGAAGAGAGTGAAAAAGCTGGCTTAACATGCCACACTCAAAAAATGAAGATCATGGAATACAGTTTCTTCACTTCATGGTAAATAGAGGAGGAAAAAGTAGAAATAGTGACAGATTTTATTTTCTTGGGCTCCAAATCACTGCAAATGATGACTGCAGCCACAAAATTAAAAGATATTTGTTCCTTGGAAGAAAAGCAATGACCAATCTAGACAGCAAATTAAAAGGCAGAGACATCACCTTGCCAGCAAAGGTCCATATAGTCAAAGTATGGTTTTTCCAGTCATGTATGGATATGAGAGTTGGACCATAAAGAAGGCTGAGCACCAAAGAATTGATGCTTTTGAACTGTGGTTTTAGAGAAGACTCTTGAGAGTCCCTTGGACTGCAAGGAGATCAAACGAGTCAATCCTAAAGGAAATCAATCCTGAATATACATTGGAAAGATTGATGCTAAAGTTGAAGCTCCAATACTTTGGCCACCTAATGTGAAGAGCTGACTCATTGGTAAAGATCCTGATGCTGGGAAAGATTGAAGGTGGGAGGAGAAGGGGATGACAGAGGATGAGATGGTTGAATAGCATCACTGACCCAATGGACATGAGTTGGAGCAAACCCAGGAGATGATAAAGGACAGGAAGCCTGGTGTGTTGTAGTCAGTGGGGTCACAAAGAGTTGAACATGACCGAGTGGCCAACAACAACAAGAATCAATAATGAGGGGTAGAACCCAGATGCCTTGAGTAATAGTTGCGTTATCACAGTTTAGGCACCACCTGTTTGAAAAGGCAGCCACCAGCACCATGACTCTCAGGATCTCTAAGTACAGACCCATTCACAATTCACAATGGTGCAATTTAAGTTTATAGTCAGAGTTTCAGCTTCCAGTTTATCTTGAACTAAAACTAAGTCTGTGGAAAGCAGACAGAAAGGGTCAGGATAAATGAGGCTAGCTTACAATGATAAACAGAGGGCTTTTAAAAATCCCACATTCTCTGGCCTTGTCATATTACTGATTCATCCCTTCACATGTAAAAGAGGGGTTTGTCTTATACTCTGATTAGATGGTACATTGAGACCTCTGAGCCAAAAATAAGAATTGTTGTTTTCTTCATTGAAGGATGGTGGTAACTGAATTTTCACCAGGGAATTTTAAAAGCAGAGCAATTAGTTTGTGCTATTCTTTATATACATTTGATCCTTTCACCAGTAGTGGCTGATGAATGGCAAGTTGATGTTATCTAAAACACACTTAATGGAATAAAAAGTCTAGTACTAGAACTGGGAGATGAACGAACCATAGGGTGTGGGAATTCAATAAACTCTAAAAACCCATTTTTTCAGTAAAATCATCTGGGGACTTTCAGAAAAAGCAGAATCTGGAAACCCCATCTTGAACTAACTGAATCAGTATTTCCACAGGCTGATACCTAGGGTTTAACATTTACAAATGCTTTTGAGGTAACTCATGATTATCTATTCCACCCAAGTAAATTCTTACATTTGTCAGGACAAAAAATTCTAAGTTCAAATGATGGCATTGACTATGGCAATCAATTATAATCCTACATGAGATTTAAGAACTAGATCTGCTGTCCCTTTCCTTCTTTCAGGTATTTCATCTTTTTAGGACCCTGCCTATTTATTCATTAAACAGATATTTATTAAATTCTTATTCTGCTAGACCTAAGAGTATGATAGTGGACACAATAAAATGATTATTTTCTCATGGAGCCTATTTCTCTCAGTCACTGGAATACTACAAGAGATCTATCCAGGAAATTTTCCTGAATTTATAATCTTGACTTTTTTTTTACTGGTATTTTGTCACTTTTTGCACTTGCTACAGACAAGACTTTGGGCTTCCTGGCCCAAGTGGTGGAGAGCAACTGTGGTCAATAACTCTTAAAGCTATAAATTGAGTAGCTATTAATGTCACTCACGTGTTAGGGAAGAAGAGAAAATAGGAGCATGGACTGATCAAGAGACTTGTTCACAATTACACAGCAAGTGCTGAACTTAGGTGTAGGAAAGCTGCTCAGGGATCCAGTTCCTTAATCAGCACTATGAAACACCACCACTCCAAAGTATTGTGTATGGTTTCCACACATTCAAATTAAAACCTTGGTTATTTCTCTTCATACTTAGTCATTTCTATTCTCAAAGCCATAATCGCAAGAAGTCCGTTATCTCACTCTTGGAGAAGCTTCCTTCCCCCGAAAGCAGTTTAAATCCCTAGAGGGGAAAAAAAAATCTATCTCTTATTTCCAAACTTAAACAGGACATGGGAACCAACACTGCTTCTCATAGCCACTTGGAGTTACTACTTAACATGGGAATGGAGTTTGAAAAATATAGTCGGTCAGCTTTATTTTGTGCCTGTCTCAAGCCCCTACAGATAATCCTTTTTTTTCTTCTTTTTTTAGAAAGAGTGACAAGACATCTTCAGTGATAAACTTAGTCAAGAAAGTGCTACTTTAGACAGCTAAGTGTTTGAAGGCTTTGCTCCCATGCCCTCGAGAGAGTCCATTCTTAGGCAGGTTGATAAGAAGTCTAGGGGTCCCCATAGAGAGAGGGGTCTGGAATTCTCAAGAAGGAAGAAAGGACAAACTTTTTTCCCCCTATATTCCTTAGGATTATATAATAATAATGTATCCTGCTTGAGAACAGTCTCTGGAAAATACCTTCTGGCTAATTCTTCTATCTCAAATTGTAAATTATGGGAGTAGGTCTGATGAGGTCTTTACAACCTCCAGACATTCTTTGATTCACTGTAATAACTAATTTGAGAGTATACAATCTCATTGCTAACACCAGCAAGGGGGTACTCTTTCTACCCCCTTCTTTTGTCTATGTCAGAAGCTTTCTCTATCTCCTTTATATTTTAATAAAACTTTATTACACAAAAGCTCAGAGCAATCCAGCCTCATCTCTGGCTCCAGATTGAATTCTTCTCCTCCGGAGGCCAAGAACCCCAGTGTCTTTGAGTGATTTAGCAACAACCTTTCATCTTGGGGGCTCGTCTGGGATTCTTCAGGAGAAGGTAAGGATGCTTGGAGCTCTAGTTCTTTGTTCTCCCAGCGAACATGTTTCCTGCTGTACTTTACTAAGTCTACGGTGTGCTTGTGTTAATGAATGACACACCCTGTGGGAAGCAAGTGAGGAGCCCTGCTCTGCGGTTCCACGGTAACCTCAAACGGCTTATGGCAGAAATGTGTAGGAGGTTTATACTGACCTTCCAATGCCAAGAGGCACCCAATGTCTCCTTTAGACTGAGCAGAAATGGGCAAAGCATGTGGACCGAACTCTCAGTCAAGCTTTTCGGTCTCTTTGACCATTTCATAACTCCTTGAAAATTAGAAGTACTAACCAAATCTATCGGATCATAGACTTTGAACAGACTTGTGGTCTGTTACTGCGTACTATGACTTAGTTCCCAAACTTGGATTGGTAGTCAGGAAGCGCCTAGCCTTGCTAGGCATGGAAAGCTTGGAAGCTAGATGGAGCTCTAGCTCCAAGAGCATCTCTGAGGTTAAATGTTACTTAGATTGGAACTACAAGGGATTTTTCTTCCTTTGGCGATGCTGGCTCTTAGTGGATAAGAGGAGGCTCATATTGGTGAGGTGACGCTTGGAAGAAACATCTCAGTTTCATGTTCGTATTGGTCTTACTGTGGTCACGAATATATTCAGGGTCGTTCACAGGCACAGGTGACGAAGGTTACTCTGATTGCACCCTGGGTGGCATCAGAGGCAAGCGAGGTTTTAATGGTGAGGAGCTGGACGTCAGTCAGAGATACCATCAGGCCTACCCCTGGTGCATCTCTGCCCATCTCAGTGGTAGGACAGGAAGGGACGAGTAGGTCACCTGTGTAGGTAAGGGACAGACTAAGTCCGACCACGGAAGGAAAGCTTT